AATCACAGCTTGAGAGACAAATCCAGGCCCGAATCATCCTCGGGCTCCGTATCATTCCCATGATTATTTATCCTCGACCCAGTCGAATCCTGGATAACGGGCCTTGAGTATCCCGAACTCCCGGCCCCACTATCCAAAAACCGAACATTCGGGCCCTGATTCCGCAAACCCTGCCCCAAAAACCGAGGAACATTTGTCGGGCCCGGCCCATCCCATCCCGGGTACCTTCCAAAGCCCGGCCCGTAAGGATAACCGGTAAATGGGCCCCCGGGACGTTGAAGGACGAGGCCGTGAGATCTACCGTACGAGGCCAGGAAAGGGCCCATCCCCGGGTAAGCCATCATTGGGCCGGTCCCGTAATAGGGGAAGGGCCCAAAACTCACGTTTTGGTGCATTTCTTGCGCGCTTTTCTCGACCGCTCGTTGGACCTTGTGCGCGTTTTGGTGTCCGCCCAGCGCTTGTTTGTTCGAAAACTTCTTTTCGCAGTACTTGCACCCGTACTCTCGGTCGTTTTCGGGCTGTGGGAAGCCTGGGCCCTCGTTATTCGGGCCGGGCTCAGATGGGCCCGTATGATCCTTGCTCGACAAGTCAGAAACGGATTGGTTCGGGCTTGAAGGATAGTCCATTGTTTTTTTTTTTCTCCTTTTTTTTTCTCTCTGTTTTCTTGTTTTTTTCTTTGTAATGAAATGAGTATTTATAGTGGTGAGTGTAAGGGAAATTTGAGAAAATCTGATTGCATGGGAGTTTGAGATCCGAATACAGTAATTGCAATTTTTGAGGAGTAGTTTGTAAGAAGTAAAGACAATGAGACATGTTAATTTTGTTCCTAAAAATGATTAGATTTTTATTACAATGTCAAATGTGCTTGTTCTTATCCCTCATATCCCTTGTTTGGTTTTAAGGATGCTAACCTTAAAAACAGCTTTAACTACTGTTATCTACTGGATGATAATGAGAAAGTGAGGCACTACACTGCACAGAGAGGTGAGATTTGACAGCTTATATCAAATTTGAAAGATTTAAATGCATGCAAGGAATAAAATTAGTTGGTGTTTTTTTATTTAAAATTAGTGATGTAATAAATGGTATTTCTTATAACAAGCTGACATTATAATGTAGTTCCAAGGCTATTTTATGATTAATTGCTTCAATGACTTTGGAAAAAATTATAAGAATGTATATTTGCATTTCTCGTAAATTATTAATATCGTATTTGAAATGTATCAACTATTAAATTTTAATTAACTCTCGCTAGATTTGCACGTTTAGTTTTTGGTCATGTTTAGCGCGTATTAATCACGCTTGTATTTGTTCATATTTAGCGCGTATTATCCATGTTCGTATATTTTCTTATTTAATTAATACAGAAAATTTTGTTTATCCCTTTCATTTAAAACCAAAAAACTAGGGCTTCACATGATTTTTAGCACATAACTCACAACTACTAGACATGAACATTAGTTTAGTCTCATTTTAATAAAGCAAGATTACATATCAATTGTTTTTAGCAGTTCTATCAATCTCCTTTTAATAAAGCGAGATTACTATCAATTGTTTTTTACCATTTGGTTTTGGATTGCTATTCAACATTTAAAAAATATTAAGATATATTTTGCAATAAAGTGTTCACTTTCATGATTTCTTGAGTTATTGCTATTGCACTTTCAACATTTACTGAATTACTGTTATTATTACCATAGGTCTAACAAATGCACACACTTTCTCACTCAAATAACATACTTTAAAATATAATATAAACGAAAATATAACATTTAATAGTATAAGTATGCAATTTTTTGTTCGAAAGTATCACTGTCTAAGGCAACCTAACAACATCATTTGTGTTATTATTATTATCTCCAAAAAGAATGATTAATTGGTCAGTAATAACCNAGAAAGCTAATAACATCTGCTCTAGATATTTGATGCATTACCATAACATGGAGCACCAAGAAAAAAACAGAAAAGATAAATAAATTGATTAAAGTAAGAAAAAAATGCTGTGAATCCAAGAAACCAGAAGCAGCACACATTTTTCTACTGTACAAAATCTCATACACAGTTTTCAGGTTCGGCCAACATGTTTTTTTCCTTCTCTCCTTTTTCTGCGCAAGAACGGTTTTCGCAAACTTTTGCGTTATAATTGAATGATTTTTTCTTTCTAATACTACATTTGTATTACGTATTAACTATAAGAATCTAAGCCGAAGGAAAATTCACAAACAGCATCTTCTCCATCGGATAAGTATGCTCAGAGCAACTGAACTAAATATCCGCAATTTTTTCGATACAATTATGGATATTACAAGTATTCGTAAGCAACTGGAGCAAGCCCCATTTTCCATTGTTACAGGTCAATTAAAATTAGTTTTTTGTTACAGGTCAATTAAAATTAATTTTTTTATATAAGGTTCGAAAACACATAAATTAACAAGTGCAAGTGTCAAGAAGATATTAACCTGTAGAGCAGCTCGGCCTTGTGACACGTTTTCTCTCCTCAAGACAGCTCACCACATGATCCTACCATATTATGAGGTCATTCAGTTGGTAAAAATGTTTGATTAATTACATATTTAGGGACAAAAAATGAAAAATCATGAAACAGAGGCACACGCGTAAATGCAAAAGAGAAAGTAGATTACTAACAATGTAAAAAACTTCGATGCACTTCATTAGTACTTCCAGATATTCGGTGAAACTAAATTCACATGCAGAATTACAATAAAAAATATATTCACATGCAGAACTGCAGCACCTGAACATGATATGAGAATTTTTGAACTGTATTTTCGCAGTTAAATGTCATATTATGAGTTACGACGTAGCTGATTGAAGTTCAAAAAAAGAAAGAAGTAATAAATACATAAAATTCACAATCTACTGCTATAAGAAGAAATTGGTCTCCACATAATGGCAACAAAAAAAGAGTATATATGAGTAAATGATGACACAAAAAAGATTAACCTTTGCTTCTGCTCGAAGATCAGTATATGGCACGACACCTGTAAGAAGCTCACTGCAATACATTGATAAACAAACTCACATTACGTTTATGTTCATTAGTATAGCTAATATACACTTTTATTCAGCCTCCAATAGAAAGTATCGATTGATGTGGCCTGGTAAAGTAAACTAAAAAAGAAGCTGTTAACAGAACATACAAAAATCAATTCTTAACAGTCACTCCAAAAATATAGACATCTGATTTTGTATGTACAAAGATATCTACTAAGGAGATTGTACTTGATCATCAAAGCTATCACAAAACTTGACCTGCATTTTCTCTGTTACAGGTGGAAACATGAAGAAAAGGTTTAATCAAATTGCTGCGCAAATAATGCTCTATGATAACAAAGACATTTCAGGAATAGTGTATATACTTCTCCGCATTAAAATGGATTAACAGCGAAAAACTTGATTGGGCATATATTAATATACGTCTAAATTTACGTATTAATGGCTGCATGAGTCATCATATGTTTGCTTATCTTGTTCATTTGTAATCATGCAAATCAATAAGATAGAAGACGCTAAATAAATTCATTTGCAGAGGTATTCAAGAAAATAATATTTAAATTAATAACATATAATTATCTTTGCATCTAATCATGTTAATACATATCATCACCCATAAATGAGCAGCAATTCCAACAGGTTGAAAAGGTTGCCTAGAAAACAAGTTAAGAGGTAAACTCAATAGAAACGATCTAGTGATATGGAAATGGAGGTCATTGTCCAAAGAGATCATTTTGAGGCAACAAAAGGTCTTATATTGATCTACAACTCAAATGGTGTTCATTTTCAACAAAATATCAAAGTTCTTTTTGTTCCAGGTGTAAACAACATTTTGTATTGATGAGCTCACACGAGCTTCATGTCGTAAATCTTAGGGAAAAATCAACTGCAGGGCAAAAACGGGTCGTTTTAGGTAAATATTACATTTCATGACCTCTCCAGAATTCAAGGATTTCACATCAATTTTCCAAATTATGAACAAAAAAGTCATGGATATTCATTCTTACAAGTGCACAACTTCTTGTATTCATATGTGAACCAAACAACATTCCTGAAAGGTGACTTTCCCTTGTTCATTTTACACATCTCCACAATGAATTTCAAGTGATTGAGCGGCTCAAAAACCCAAAAAACCTAAGCACACAACATTCTCTAACAATCAGTTGAAAAAGAGAGAGAGAGAGAGAGAGAGAGAGAGATGAGCCCTTTACTCCGTTTATCAGTTCCCACAAAAAAGAAAAAAAAAATAAAAATACACTTAAACAGGGAAGAGGTGATAACTAAACCTGAGTAACTGCAATTCTTTGTGGAACTTATCTAGGTCATCGGAAGTAAATAAAAATGGATTCTTGACGGTCACTTTCTTTACATCAAGAACCCCTTCGTACACTACACTCTCTGCACCTGAATTAGCCAAAAAAGGGGAAAAAAGAAAAGGAAAAAGAAAACCCAGTTCAGAAAAAACTAAACAAAACAGGATTGAAGAGCCCAACAGAGCTCGAGCAGACATGAATGTAGGGAAGGGCGGAAGTGGAGAGGAAACGTGCGGCTATGGCAGCAACCATGGATGGAAGTATTTGGCTCCATCTAACACCACTTTTTTTCTTCTTGCTTTGATGTGTTTCGCCTGAATCATGAAAAGCCGATCCCAGCTCGCGAGCTCTGTTATGGCTTACTGAGAGAGAAAGCTTGTGAGACGACGTCGTTTGTGTTTGCTTTTGCCTTTTGGTACTCAACAATCAAGATCAGGCCACTTTATTTTTTCCTCTGTTTTGATACTAAGAGCATCTCCAATGCTCTAATATTGTAGTAGGATAAATTTTGACAAATGTCAAAAAATTAAGTAGATTGTGAACCATGTAGGACAAATGTTGAGTTCACAACTATTAAATTAAAAAATCATCTTCAATGCACAATATAGTCAAATTACAATATTATTTACTTACTAAATATTAAAATTTTAATATGAATTAATAAAATTAATAAAATAATTAAATAGCTTAAAAATGGTAATAATAATTCTCTCTCTTCTCTTCATTGGCTAACTAGAGTATGGAGGAGAATGTGGATGAACCACATTCTTCTCTACATTGTAGACATTAATTATGTCCACATCATCACAATATTTGTGATCACATTGTACATTGGAGGATGAAAAGTTGTAATGTTAATAAATGTGTTGATTTGAAATGTAATTTGGTACTACAACATTAAGCATTGGAGATGCTCTAAAGATCATATTTTTCATATGGGTGTTACTAAACTAGTACAGAGCCCGTGCGATGCACGGGGTGTACAATTTTAACGCTATTTATCCAGGCTTATAATTATATACATGAATAACGAAAAATGTACGGGATATATATAGTACGTGACCCGTGCGAAGCACGAAATATATTTATTTGAAAAATATTATATTATAAGATGCAATATTCAATAAAGATTATAATACGAAAGAAACTGTACAATATTCAATAAAAATTTTATAATATAAAAGTGGAGTCTTAAAGTCTCTTGTACATTAAGACTATTGACAAAATAATATTTTAATCAATGAGTTTCCTTTCCTTGTAGCCAAATTGTGAATGTGATTTGAGGAGTACAACAAATCGATATATAGTTGACTTGCTTTTTCATTGTAGTTTTTTTTTTTCTTTTTTTTTTATAATGAATTTAAAGATATTCTAAAATATAACAAAAATTAATTTTTTTTATTACAGTTAGGAATTTTACTAAATATAAACTCTCAATCTATGGTGTTAATCAACGTTTAAGTCTAAAAATTAAGAATTTTTACCTCTTTTAATCAACGTTTAAGTCTAAAAAACATTAGAGTTATTATAAGTTTTTTTTCTACATCTTTTAAAACATTAAATATGAGCATGTTAGGGCTAGCTTGTAAAATAATTAATATTTATCTCACTAAAACATTTATACTAATAAAAATTTAATTTTAGCGTATAAATTTATCCCTTGATATAAGAGAAAGTAACAGTTTTACTTATTATTGTTCGCCATATAATATTTAATTATTATTTTATTATATAATAAAAAAGAAATTTTGTTACATAGTATAGTAGAATTGTTATAAAATTATATGATTTTTTTTTTTACAATATGGATTTAATATTTTTTTATGATTTGATAATATAAACAAATCTATACTTAACTTTGACAAATAAAACAAATAAATACTTTAGTAAGTATTTAATGTATATACTAAATAGGAATATATTTGGTATAATCAAATACCAAATATAATCAAATAAGTTAAAGTGTACATTTTTATTTGGTATTTGATTTTTTTATTATTAAAATCTTTTTATTATACTTACCTTTTTAAAATAAAACAAATAAATACAAATTAAATAAATAAAATATTATAATATCAAAATAGTAATGGCATTTAGTGCAGTTGACTTTTCTGGATAGTAAATATAGGAAATAGAATCTCCTTTTATATAAGTATAGATAATACGAAAATAGTAATGCAATAAATGTTGTTGACTTTTCTGGCTGCTTAATTTGGTAAATAGTACCCCTTTTAATATAAGTATAGATATCGCCCCCTTTATTACTACTTACCGCCCCCCAAAAGACAATTTTACCCTTTTCAATTATAAAATAATTATTATTATTTTTTTTAAGCTTGCCTACCGCGAATCACGGCCGTAAGCGTGCCGGCCTCCTTTCTCAGTAGGCCGAACCGTGCACGGCCTCCATTCCCAGTAGGCCGCACCGTGCACAACCTCCATTCTTGGTAGGCCGCACCGTGCACGGCCTCCATTCCCGGTAGGCCGTACTGTGCACGGCCTCTTTCCCCGGTAGGCCGCACCGTGCACGGCCGGTTTTTCCGGCAGGCCGGCCGATTTTTTTTTTTTTTTTTAATTAT